TTTTTTTAGTCCTAAAATTTATAAAAATGTTAAATTAGGCCCCGATTATTCCTCGCTGGGGACTATTTCAACCAATATTGAAAGATTCTAAGGACTAAATTGATATTTTTATAACCGATGGGACTAAATTGTGCTTGGGGTTTTGTTTTACTATGCTCGTTTTGTCCACAGTACATGCAATATCTTTATTTTTAATTAATGCAATATGCAACATTTCAAGGGCATCAGGCTCATTCCACCTACTATTCTTTTTTTGGTATTGAGCAGAATTAGTCATGTTAATTTGTAATGGTATTTTAAAAATCTATAATTATGCACTACTTGGAACCCCTCCTCCACTAGACATAACCCATGGTAATGCTACCATAAGAATTTATTATCTCGAACTTCACAAATCTCATCCACTAAACTGACCATCGAGATATACTATTTTGAATTTAGTTTTTATCATTTTTTGTGTCACAATCTCTTAAAATGAAGAAAGCCCAATTTGCCACCTTAAAACTCACTAGTAACATGCAATGCTTATGGAAAAGAATTGTCGACAAAATCAATAATACTAGCAAAGACTGCATTGACATGTGGCATAAAATATACAGCTAAATTAAACAAAATTACAATCCTATCTACCACATAGTTGGAAACCCAACACCACACCCTTTCACATCGTGCACTCATGGTCACAAAGTACGTCAAAATATTTGAAGAATGACCATTAGTAAGAAAGCTGCAACTAAATTCAGTCATGGCCTTCAATAACTTATCAAATTAATGTTGGGCCATAAAGGTCTATCCGCATGATTCCTTCAATTATGTATGCCCAAGAAATTAAAAAATTTTGAAGCTACAAGGCCTTCATAGCTAAGTCCAACTAATGGCAACCACTCGGCCACATTAACCCTGCTCACACCACTAAATATGTCATTAACAAGCCACCAATTAGAACTCCTTATCCAGACCACCTCTTACAACCCCCTTGGAGTATTTGTCCTGATAATATGACCATTAACAAGAATACCATTAAGCATAGATTATCGATATGCTGATTGTCATTCTTGATTTTTTTTTTTCACATCCCCTTTTCCTCTCCAAACTTGGCTTGTAAAATAGGTACCACTAATTTAGATCCATCCTAAATGAGTTAGAAATTACTTTCAAAACTCGGATAGTTACTTCAAATGTGAAATTATATAGTTTGATCTTTTCATTGCACCCCACACTCAACCTTCCATAAGAAAGTATTCATATAGTTTGGTCTTTCCAATGCATCACATAATCAACCTTCCATAAGAAAGTTAAGTTCGAAGAAATCCTCATTTTTTGCACAACTAAAAATTACCTCCTTCGACAGCTATGTTTAGTCCTAAACACTTTAAACACAAACAAGCTCCAAATCAATCTTAAGAAGTTTTTTTTTTAGCCCAAGTTATTTTCTTGTGCCCTGGTTAACCCACTAAGTTTGAAGCTATCAACTCATTGACATATCAATCATTTTCCTACGTACACATCATTCATGGCTGCACCACTTCTACATACATTTCATAAGAGGGTTCAACACCACTATGACTCTTTAATGGGACATATGAAGAAAAATTCCTCTCGATAGCCATTATCACAGAACTGAGCTTTTCGATAGACTGAACTAAAGATGACTGAAGCTCCAATGCTTCAAAATCTTTAATCAATTTTTTAAGGTTTGTGTTGTGAGATATGTACTTCCTGACAAAGAAATGAGACGAAAAAGAACACAAGCAAACACAGATCGTTTACATGATTCGATCCAACTGAATCTACGTCCACGAAGGGAATCAATCAAATAGTTCAGTAAGGCAAAAGAAATGGAGAATACATAGCTTATACATAGAGATGAGCCCTCATCTTCCTTTTATGACCTCCCTCTCAAGCGACACCTTGATACAAGGTCTCAAGATGCTCTCCTCCTCTCTAGCTCTCTAGCTATTCTCTCCTCCTTCGTGGTAGCTTAAGATCTCTTCCCTTGCTCTCCTAAGCCTCACACCCTCTTTATTTATAGAAGCAAGAGAGTGGTAGGTGGGAGGTAGGTGAGAGGTAGGTGAGCGGTAGGTGAACGGTAGGTGAATGGTAGGTGAGATGTGGTAGGTGAG